ATCTTGCTTGTGTTTGTGATTTTTGACTGTGAGCTACTCGTTTTCCTTTGAGCCTAACCTGTGCTAATTCTTTGAGCCTGAATTGAAGGAGATTTCCTCCAAAGACTATACTGATTTGTTCTGCCAGTCTCCTGGGGACACTACTAACCTAGGTCTGTTTAAACTTTCTGCCTGGGGTCTTGGGGTACAGAGGTGGTGTGAAGTCAGATCATGAACCCACCTGGAAGCTGCCTTGTGGTTATGAATTCGTGGCCATCTTAGTGTGTTCCCTCCACCCAGTGGCAAGATGAAGGCAAATGTTTCAATTCCATCTACAATCGATTGGCAGATTTTTTTCTACCTTACACTTTGTATGTAGCCCTTTGAGCTCCCAGCCTTGTTGGAGGATTTCCTAGTGGACATCTCACATTGGGCAGCTCCATACCAGACTTTCTGAGTCCTAAACACTGCATAATCTCAAGTACAAAAGCTCCAGGTGTCCACAATGTCAAAGGAAACCTAGGCACAAATGCTTATTTTGTCAGCATCTGTTAGGCAACTTCCAAAGGCCCCAACGCCTTCAGGAACAAAAGCCGCTCCTATCAAGTTCTTTTTTCTGTCCTCAATTGACACAAGTCTTCATGCTTTGAAAATGGGTCTACTTTCCAGAAACAGGCAAAAGCAACTGGGGTCCAGAGCTTCTGCTTCTGCCCAGCCAGCATGGCTCAGTGGCTGAGCAGCCAGGAGGTTGCAGTTGGATTCCCGGTCAGGGCACATGCCCAGGTTGCACGCAGGAAGCAGCCGATCAATGACTCTCTCTCATCATTGATGTTTCTCTCTCTCCCTCTCCCTTCCTCTCTGAAATCAATTTTTTTAAAAACCAACCACATTAAAAAAAAAAAAAAAAAAGAGCTCTTGCTTCTGTTTTCTGTTTGGGGTGTGGGGGACACTTCCCAGATTCCTTTTGGACCAATTCAGGAAAGCATTTTAAAATAAATATTTTTATTTTGTAACTACACATGTCATTACTTCAATCGGGGGTATCGTTACTGGCATCCAATCTAATATCCTGTGAGAAAGAGAGTCAGTCACTAGTACTTTCTTACGGACAGCTGACTACTTCTGTTTCCTGAGCACCTAAAATTTGGCTGCTGACTATTGACTGGTGGGACAGCCCCCACTATGACCTAGAGGTCACTTCTTTCTTTTTAGTAGAGATATGCCATGAATATAAAAACCCATTCCAACTTACTTTGCATTGTTTTAGGGAAAATCATGTAGGCTCAGTAGAATGAAATTCTGTCTTCAAGAAGCGTGAGAAACCAGGCTTCCTGGCCTTTTAACAGGAAAGCACTCTCGCTGCATGACAGCCAGGCTCGCGATCCACTGGGCCATGAAGATGACTGAGACTGGCCTCAAATAACTCACAGTCAAGTAAAGACAGGGACAAGTAAATATAACAAAATGTGATTAAATGCTGCATAGATTTATGTTTTAAAAGAAGTAATCTGAGCTCAGAGGACAGAAATGGGAAAGGCTTCCAGAGGGTGTGACATTTAACCCAGGTCTTAAATAAGTAGGTGCCTTCAAAAGACAAGAAAAGAACTGCGGACAGAAGGAACCAGTTTAGGCAACAAGGGGGCCCGAGAGGGCACAGCAGGTGTGGGCGACCCCGAAAGGCTGTGAAAGGCACACAGAGTCCGTAAAGCAACTTGAGTCGCCCACGCCCGAGAAGACTTTTTCCAGACCTCCACCCCCTTCACCCCACACACCGGATCAGGGGTCAGCCTAGCTAACGCCACACCCTGTTATCACGTAAGTCCTCCTGTCCATTCCCGATTCCATTCCCTTAGCCCCCCAGCCTCTGCCTCGGATACTGCAGGTTTCTTAACTGCTCTTCAAGCCTCCCCACTCCCGGCCCAGGCTACACAGGCACTGAAACAGCTTTCCCAACGTGCAAGTCAGGGCGAGCCATCTTCTTGCTTAAAACCCCATTTGGTGCTCCAGCACTTAGGAGGCAAAGCTCACCCTCGGCATGACATCCGATGCCCTGGGTGATCACGACCCGCCGCCCCTTCCAGACCCCCCGGCTCTGCGACAGGGCAAAGGTTACTACAGGCAGTGAGCCCCCGCCTCACCTTTAAAATGGAGACCATGGCTCCTCCCGTATTGAGGATTAAATAAAACTATACATTTAAAACCGTAAGCACGTGGCCTTTTTCTCGCATAGCCCAGGGACTCATTAAAGGCAGAAACAGGACTGAGCGATTCCATTACACTTCAGGACGCCGAGGGGCAGCGGGCAGGGCTGAGGGGTAACAGGAGGGAGGGAGGCAGTGAGCAATGGCAATGGGGGGAGGGGCGGAGGGGGAAACTCAGGAATGTAATCAGGACCTGGTTGCTAACTGAAAGCAGAGGTGAAGGGAAAGTTGTACTGAGAAGGCAAGTTTCTTTTTTTTATTGATTTCAGAGAGAGAGAGAAACATCAATGATGAGAATCATCGATCAGCTGCCTCCTGCACGCCCCCTCTAGGGATCGATCCCGCAACCCGGGCATGTGCCCTGACCGGGAATCCAACCTTGATCTCCTGGATCCTAGGGCCATGCTCAACCACTGAGCCACACCGGCCAGGCAAGTTTCAAAGAAAGGCCCTGACACCATCAGGAACAAAAGCTGTTTCTAGGAAGTTCTTACCCTTCCCCTGCCCTCAGCTGAAGCAATTCTTCATCCTCTGAAAATGGATTTACTTTCTAAAAACAGGCAAAAGTAGGTTGGGGTCCATTCTTGCAAAACAAGAAATTAAACTGTGAAATGCCACGTGGGCTAGAATTAAGTGTCGAGTCCATGAAACTGGCAGGAATCACATGCATGTAACATGCATTTGCTTGGGGGGGGATCTATCTAGGTGTTTTATAACCAAACCTTGCAATGCATGTAACTGTCAATTAGGAAGCACATGGTTTCATGAGAAAAATCTCAGCAAAGCAGCAAGAGCCCTGGTGCTTTGACCAGCGCTGACCCCTAGCAATGTACTGACTGCCTTTAGCAAATTTCCCAGTCATTCGGGACGGGCGCCCTGTGTGGACGGAGGCAGCAGGAGCCTGCCTAGCCCCAGGGTGGTGCTCACGTTAACCCTGCAAGTGTGATAAAAGCAATCATACCTCACAGTTCTTCTGTAAAACACTTTGTAGACAAAAATCTCAAATGCAGATAAAACACTTGATCCGTTACACATTGGGATTACTCAGCTGTGACTTTATACTATGCTCCGCGGACAATTTTAAATAGCAGAATCATGTTTTACATTTAACAAGTAGAAATACACTTTGGCATATCATCAGAAAAACAACAACAAATGTTACTGTAGATACTGAACCATGAACCCTTATGATGCTGCCCAGGTTTGAGATGAGAATCCCTGGATGTTCATTTACCCGAAAGATGGAGACCAAAAATGCATCGCTTCAGCCTACAGCCAACTCCCAGGAGATAGACGGAAGCGGACGCTTCCCACGCTGAAGGTGATCCTTACACCACGTGGTCTAGGACCAACTGCCCAGGCCCCGTGGTTCCTGCAGTCACCCTCAGAGTCACCGTGATGACTGGCACTCCCTGTGGTTCCTGCGGAAACCCTCAGTCGCTATGCTGATCGGGTTTCCCCTCAAACCACTTAACCCACAAATCCAAAATGAACAGTGCTTAGGTTCTCTGTCCTCACATTCTGAGTACCAAGCACAGAGGCTGCAATGTGACTGATGCACACCCCGCCAAGAGCTGGGACACGAAGCCACCTCGGGCGGGTGAGGCGGGGCTGCTCCAGCAGCTGACAGCTCTGAGAAACCAGTGAGCGAGCGGGCACTCTGACAGACTAAAGAGCCACCTCACATCCCTGCCTGCCTGACCCCTCCTCAGTGGCTGACGCAACTCATCATGCTCACGGGGACACTGAAGTCTCAGGTGCCCACTTAGGAACTAGGTGGAGCTTCTCTGGCTGGTTCTCAGGGAACTGCCTTCTACTCCGCTGCCTTGCCATGGGCCACCGAGCCTCCAGAAGCTCGATGTGAGCTCACTTCCAGGGTAAAGCAGGCCTTGGTTAGGCTTAGGAACCTTCGGGTTACCCCCAACTGAAGCTCTGCTTCTCACTGCCACGCTTCTGTCAGGTGTTTTAAATTAATCACTTACGAATTCCCTAAGAAACGAGGTGTCGCAGCTGGACTGGAATCTCAGCTCCCCCTGCCGCTGTCGGGGTCAGAGCCTCACTTCCGTAAGCCTTGGTTTCGGGGGTTTTGCATGTGCCTTTTTCATATCTAAAAGGGGAGACTACAACCTGACTTTGGAGACTACAGTGAGGACCAAATGCGGTTAACAAATAGTTGCACTGTCCACAAAACATGAAGTACAGTCTCCCTGTCTCCTGATGCCGAGTCCGCTCTCAGCGAGGGCCCTGGCAGCTCCGGCTCAGGAAGAGGCCAGGATCCCGAGCCACACGCTCCCCTGGAGAACGTCTGCTCCTCCCCACCCCGGGTTCTGCAGTGGCGCCGCCTGGCTCAGGCCAGAGCAGGAGGGGCACAGAAAGAGGGTAAGGTGCTGAGTTAACGTACGGTCACAAGTCAGGGTTTGCTCACTGACAGACACATCCAGTGCTGACACTTCGGTGTTCTCTCCAAACGCTCCCAGGGCTCCACGGCTTTTGTTCACTTCCCAGGCCTCCCCCCATGAACCGCCCGGTGTGCCCTCCTCAGGGAGCCGTGGCGGCTGCGATCCGAGCTGAGGCGGACGCCCAGCAGCAGGGGCAGGAAGCCTGGCTGGTAGGCAGACAGCGGGCCAGCGGGCGGGACGCCACCACGCCCGGCGGAAGAGCAGGGCCCTTTCTCCTGGCACTAAGCAGCTGGGCAAGGAGGGCACCCAACAAAGAATCACACTTCAGGGACAGCCTCCCACCTGCTCAAGCAGGAAGCGAAGTGACAGCAACCACACGAGAGGAGAAAAAGAAAAGCCGTAAACGCTCCAGAAGAGAAGCTTCCTCAGTGTGAAACACACGATAATTTAATGGAATTTACTCAATTTTCCCTCTCAGGGTCTGACTTCAGAAAATCAAATTACAAAGTCATCATCACATCCTAGATTTATTACAACTGACCTGCAGGCAAAAGGATAGAACTATTACATAAACACTTCGATTCCATGTATATATCTTAAATAGAGGAGGAATTCAAACAAGAATACAGGATAAAATATTCCAAAGCTCCAAGAAGCAGTTATGTTACTGAGCTCCATTTTTACAGACAAATAAGGCAATATCCCTGCACATTAGCTTTTCGATAATTTTTATACATTTTTCTATGGTACAAGAGAAAAATAACCAGAGCTCACAATGTACAGTTCTTACACTATTTTCACAGTCTGTGAACACTATACACCCTTTTGTTTTAATAAAGATACATTGTAATAAACTCCTTGCCCTTAAGTTTATAGTTTATAATAATCTATGATTAATACACTAAAATTGCCTTTTATGTGGTCATCCACACAACAGCACGTCAGATCAGCTCCTGGACAGTCAGAACTGCTTTGATCTCCATGTGTACAATGCAAAGTGACCCACGCTGAGCCAGACGGGAGATCGACAGCAGGGAACAAACTCCTCGGTCCCTGGGAGACGTGAGGATGGCTTGGTGTGGGTAAAGGAAGCCACACAACGATGCTTCCTTGCAGAACACTGTGAGTCTAAGGTTTAGGATGCCATGGGGAGAAAACAGGAAAATTAGGCAAGTGGACCAAAGCAATAAATCATTTTTGAATTCTGAAATTTACAGGGATGTGACTTTAAAACAGCACCATTCTCCCTTTATTGTTTAGTGTGTATGACTGTCACTCTGGGAGGAGACACAGCAATACCTGCCCCGTGTGGCTCAGTGACGGCATCACCCGTCGCCGACCACGGCTGTTTTCTATTCCAGTGCGCCTGAGCCACTCACAGTGCTGCGTAGCGCCCAGTGCCCGCGCCAGGGAGCAGAGCAAGCCCAGGAGAACCTGGCTATGGGTGAGTGAGGAAGCAAGCGAAGGGCAGCAGACTTCAACGGCCTCATCACTACTCTGGGGCTGTTTGGGGATTTTTGTAGAATTCCAATTCCAAGAAACGACGGTGACCTTCTAGAGATTCTTGCAGGTGCTGAGCATATCTGACTGTCACTTCAGGTCCACATTGGGTCATGTGTTTCTAGAAAGATGCTTTCTCATCACCTACCACACGACTGAGCCCCGTGTCTCTCAGCCTTTAAACACGGGCATGTGAGAGGTTTAGGGCTAGAAATCCTTGGGGAGGAACATCCCTGGTAATTATAAAGGTTTTTGATATGGGGGTAAAAAGGCGAAATATTGGATTAAAGCAGAGGTCACACAGTGGCAATAGACTACACAGGCAGGGAAAGAAATTCAGAAACCAAAGACCTGGACCAGTGATGGCAAACAGCTGAGATTTGGTCTTTTGCTGCCTACGAGTAATTGTTATCTAATCAATCAAGGCACATTGCTCCTCGCTACTTCTCCCTGGTAGTGAGTTTTGATGGCTAAAGTATCGGGCTCGGGACAAAGGGGAAATGTGAAGCTGCTACAAGTTGTTCAGATAAGATACTAGAATTAAAAACATCTGTAAACGTTGCCCTCTGTACTTTTTCTTCTGTCAGTCCCGATGGTTTGTGGCAGGTGGAGCCTCACACTGGCAGCACACCAATGCTGAGTGACAACTCTTAGGATCAGCACCTTCTTTGACAAGTGGCAGACTCCTAAGTCTCCCAATGAAGAGCAGAAGGACTGGCCAAGGAGAAAAGAACACATTCTGTCCTGTCTTGATATTTTAATGTTCGCCTCTTTGAACACAACATGGTTTTTGGTAAAGATAAATTCATTCTAATTTAAAATGATATTTCAAACAGGAATTGGCTGAGCAAGTCGATCCCCGAACATCGACTGTGACGATAAAGCAACAGAACGTCAGATCAGTAAATCTATTGCACTTGGTGAAGAACGGAAATCCTCCTGTCTCAGCCCCAGAAGGCAATGTGTCTCGCTGGCCGTGCAAGCTCTTCTCCCCACGCCCGAGTCTACGTTCAGACACAGCACGCCCATCACTGCGTTCTCCCAGGATTTGGAAGTCTGACAAAATACCACTCCAGTAGCTGTGTCTCCAGGTTTTGAGTCTAGAAATGAATTTAAGATGTGACCTAATCACAGTCAACAAATTGATCGTACTGACTTCCATGCTTCATGAGTGTGTCCACAGGAAAGAGCAGGATGAGGTCTCTGACCAGCACTAACACTGAGATCAGCGGGTGTTTCGGGGATGCACGTTCTAGGTGACGGGAGTACAGACATGATGGAAACAAACACCAATCTTATTGCACATGGTGTCTGGCGAGCAATAAAAACACTGTGATACGGGTGAAAATTCTTTACGTCTTGCTTCCTCTCAGCCCTTTTTTCTAGAGTCTGACGTAGCAGCGGCATCAATCGACATACATGGGGGAGCTGGGAGTAGTTGGCATTTGATCCAGGATTTTACAAACATAGCTTGCAACCTCTACGGTACGTTCTTCATACATTAAAATAAAGGGATGTTTCTACAAGAAAATTGGACCAAAAAAAAGAGAAAAATATCAAAATTCGTACCAGAGAACACAGAACTTTCCCAGTTTTGATAGAGCCTAGAACCAAAGGCTCCACCAGCATGGCTTCGAAACACTGTAGCACTGGCTCAGAGCAGCAAGCAAAGCCTGCACTTCCAGGAGGTGTGTCAGTGGGTTTGGGCCGCACTTCTGGGAGGTGTGTCAGTGGGTTTGGGCCGCACTTCTGGGAGGTGTGTCAGTGGGTTTGGGCCGCACTTCTGGGAGGTGTGTCAGTGGGTTTGGGCCGCACTTCTGGGAGGTGTGTCAGTGGGTTTGGGCCGCACTTCTGGGAGGTGTGTCAGTGGGGGTGGGCTGCACTTCTGGGAGGTGTGTCAGTGGGGGTGGGCTGCACTTCTGGGAGGTGCGTCAGTGCTGGGCCTGCCTGGTGGCTGGGATCTGGAGGAGCCACCTGGTGGTGAGGTTGGGAACTAATCTGGGTACCAGGGAACAAAGCTAAGGCAGACAGCACTGTTGTTCCTCTGCAGTGTGAGAACCAAGAACTACATGAATTCCAGGTGCTAGTCAGGACACAGACATATACCCCAATGGCCCACTTCCCCAGGCGTAAAGTGAATCCAGAACAGAAAGGATTCAGTTTCAATCCTCTGACCCCCACTCCAAAAGAAACTCAACAGAAATGTATCCTGTGAACATCTAAACTACACTCTCCAAAGCCTGGAGCCCCATACCTGCCTTGCACACCCACCCTCTCATACTCCACCCCTCTCAGTATTCTTCTTTCACAGCTCCTCTAAGCACACTGGCTGGGTATCTTTGGTCATGGCTGGGGTTGACCATAAGTCTGACCTAACATCCCAGAGAGCTAAAGCTAAGTGTGACAAACAGGTGGGTTTTTTTTAATTAAAATATTCCCATATTATTATATCACAGTACTTCCTCTACAGCAAGACCAGTGCCCCATCCAGGAGACTGTGTAAAATGCCCAGTTTCCGTGGGACACGTGAGAACTTGTAAAGAAACGGGCACTGGCCGTATGATCTGGATGTGCACAAGGTCATTTAACAGAGGCAGAATAAGCACGATGGGTTCCTATGGATGTGTCACACATACAAAGACCACAGGGTACAAAAGTTGCTCCTCAAGTGAATGTCAGAATTCTCCAGGGTAAGTTTTATAACATGTCAAGGCCAAAACTTTCCATGAGAATATAGCTAGTAAATTAGTAGGAAAGTTATAGCTACAAATTTTCTCTTTTCGAACATCTTTGCCTCAGAACCTTCTACAGAAGCTCAGGGCAGCGGTCTATGCAAGGCCCACGGCCCGCTCGGCGAACCAGCATGCTGCGCGGACCCGAGGTCTCATACTTACCAGAAGTTCTTTATACTTTGGCCTTTTGGATTCGTCCTTTGTAAGGCTAAAATAACAAAAATAACATTATTAAAATGAAGACACATTTACCCCAAGTATTTTTTGTTTTTTCACAAATGAAACATTAAAAAGAATAAAGTAGTTTTTTCCTTCAGATACAAAGGTACAAAGCAGACAACCTGCCAGACTCAGAAAATGTGAAACACTAGGTGATCTATGAGAAAGGGAAAAGCAAAGCATTTTCAAGAATGTAAAGAAGATATACTAAATGCTCTGGCTTTTTGCTCGTAAACATATGTGTATTTTTTTTAAGTTTTTTTTTTTTTTTTTAATTGATTTCAGAGAGAGGAAGGGAGAGGGAGAGAGAAATAGAAACATCAATGATGAGAGATGGTGATTGATCAGCTGCCTCCTGCACGCCCCCAGCTGGGTATCCAGCCTGCAACCCAGGCATGTGCCCCGACCGGGAATCGAACCAGGATCTTCTGGATCATAGGTCGATGCTCAACCACTGAGCCATGCCGGTTGGGCTAAACATATTTTTAAGTCATGTTGGATAAGCAATAATTATCAAAAATAAGCAAATAATAACAAAACCTGTTGTATTTAAAATACAGATTGAAACAGCACAAAGCACAACTGTATATTACCATATCTGCAAGTTTATTCTCACGTCCTACACACACAGGGGCACAAGCGCACACACATGCACATCCATTAAAAGATGGACAGATAACATTAACAGGTGTGGGTTTCACATTCCCTGAAATAAGGTTTCAGAGAGCCAATATATAGTTCTACCAATGGAGCTTTGGGCCCACTCTACTACGCACACCCAGCCATGTTATCTGTTATGTCACAGAAGAGACCCACCCATGAAAGTCTGACCTGGTAGTATCTTGACTTGGTAAAAGCTTCCAAGTACAATCTCACTACTAGAACCACATCAGAATAAGATGGTCAGTCTCACCTGGGCAGTATTTCTGTAAAGGGTACTAGAAATTGGGAGGCAGAGGCTGCTCACCACCAGGCTAGCTGGAGCCTTCCATGCAGCTGCAATGACCCAGGGTCCCAGCTTGGAAGGCGAGTGCTATGAGAAGGCTCCCTTCCCCAGTGTCAAGTACCAGTGTTGCTAAGATTAAATAAACTTCCCTGTTCTCACTACCTGTTTTTGAGTATTCATAAGTCAAGTACTCACCACAAGTTGACAAAGTTGATGAAACTTGGAGAGAACTCCCTTTCCTCTGAATTACTCAGTTGTGGAGGATCTCCTTTCACGACTTGTGTTAGTTGATCAAATACACTATTCCACTTTGGATAAGGAAACCGGCCTGTGGCCAACTCGTACTAAAAAGAGCACAGAGGAAAAAGCAAAATACACTGAGGCATTATTTACTACTCCTCACTGAAATGCCCACGTAGAAAAATATCCAAACAAAACTCATGTAAAGCCTTGAATCAAACCCATCTCTGGTTAAGGTGGTTTTCAGAAGTATTAAGGCTAAGCAGAAGTGATATTAGAATCAAGATAATATAAAGAATTCCATATCAACCAAATTCAAGAACTTGGACTGAAAGGAAACACTGAACTGAAGCCCAGACAAGGTCCCCACAAGGCACGCTCCAGGGCAGCTCCGATTCCTGTGTGTGGGATTCTGGAAGGCTGGTTTTAGGGTTGTTGCAGTACAATGTCTGCATAATCTAGAGTCACCTGAGTGGGAGGCCACGTCCAGAGAGTGGTCAAATTCATTTTTAAGATAACAGAACATTCAACACACAAAACGCCCAAAGAGCTCACAGGGAGCAATGTGTGCATCCTGTCCTATTGCCATTCTGCAACCACAGAACGGCTATATGACAGGATGTCACTATTATTGAGGAAACAAGCCAAGGCCCAAACCTTCACCTCGAAGCCTATAATGATGCTGAAGATAGTATCTCTAATCCACACCAATCCACACCTGAAAAATCTATGGTGGATGTTCCAATGTCATGGGCTAAAAATATTTGTGAACTGTACTCTCATCTTTCTCCTGCTCTGTCCTGAGGATAATGAAAACCTAGAAATGGTGCTTTTTCCAAGAAAGACAGCAAAATCTACAGCATGGCCTAAATGAATCCCACTTTATGTGCCTGGACAGGCGATTGATATCATAATATAAAGAGACTCCAAGCTTGTTAGAGAGGAAGATGGCACATGAAAGAGGGCACACCTGAGAAAATTGTTTCAGTTTCTCCAGCTTAGATTTCATCTTTGTCAGTGCGTCACTGCTACATTACAGAGCCCTAGGCACTTCACAAAACCCCTAGGGAAATAATCAATCATGGTTTGGCTTTTAAGGTATACAATATACTTTTATTCAACAACTAGAAGATATAGTCCCTGTAATTATAGCTATGAGGGGGGAAAATAGGTAAATAAAATCAAAGGCTAGAAGAAATAAGGAGCAGTTCTGGCAGAAGACTGATTAAACTTTCTTTAGCTTCTAAATTTCTTGTTACACTGCCAGGCCAAGGCTGGGTCGACATCAACATACCAGTGTGATCCCCAAACTCCAGACATCAGAGCGGACATCATAGCCTTGTCGTGACGCACTCGGGTCTATTCTCTCCGGCTGGAACACAAAGAGAAGCAGAGTCACTAGTGATTCGCCTCGCCGAGGAGCAGGGAAGTGGAGCACTAGCTGGGCGGGTAGGCCGGTGTCAGCACAAAGCACCATTAAAAACAATCAACAGCAAAAGAATAACATACAGACAGATGAAAAAGACCACCTCAGTCAATGGCTTCCTCCATAAAGGGAACACAAGCAACTCTTCTAATTGCCCCCTAAATACTCACAGCACTTACCAGCCTGAAGCTGAGAACAGACGAAGGGAGGGAGAGACAAACAGAACATTGGGAAAATGTAACAAATAAAGAATTGCAGGGTCAGCTTAACAAGTAGTGGTTAACAGGAAAAGAAAGACTAAGTCTTCTCTGTTCCAGTGAGTAAGGCCCTACTGCAATATATTTGAGATATAAAAGCAAATGTAAATTTATTATAATTTATTAAATGTAAATTTAATAAAATGTAAATAAAATGTAAATTTATTATAATTATTTTACCCATTCTTCATCATAAAGCTAAATTTATCAATATGCATGTCTACTGGTCATTTTTAACCAAATTAAACATGGCCAATGTAGCAATATATCATCCTATCATTTAAATAGCTAAAATCACTTTTGTAATTTCTGCCTTTCGTCTCCTTAAATAAGAGACCATTGTCTACAGTGTGCCAAGGATGGAGAAGATGAGAGACAGGGTATCAGTGGTGGAGCAGACCATGGATCCTTAACTAAGGCTGAGAGTAGCCGCTGCGGAAACGCATGTCCAGAGGAGCACACTAGGTGACTGTGTTGCATCCTCTGTCTGTCAGCAACAGCTAGCTTGGACACTACAAATTTTGTTTTGAATATGAGTACTGTGGGTGCATAAATTTTCATTGTAAACTATTTACTTTATTTTTAATTAAAAGTGTATTTTTTTCCTAATGATATGCATTACATAAAAATCCCAGATAATTGACCAAAAGAGAAAACAGTCCGTCCAACAGCAGCAGAATATACATTATTTTCAAGCTCACATGGAACATCCACTAATACAGACCATATTCTGTGCTATAAAACACACCTTATTTTTTAAAATTGAAATCATACAAAGCATATTCTCAGTCCACAAAATAATTAAATCAAAAATCAGTAACAGAAAGATACCTGAAGAATCCCCAAATATTTGGAGATTAAACAACACACTTCTAAATATACACATGGAGCACAGAAGTCTAAGAAAATGTAAAAAAGTATTTCAAACAAAATAAAATTGAAATAACAACTTATCAAAATTTGTGGAATGCAGCAACAGCAACGCTCAAGGAAAATGTACAGCACTAAATGCATATGTTACGAGAAGACAGATTGAAAAGTAATAACCTAACTTTACATTTTAAGCATTAGAAAAAGAAATAAACCCAAAGCAAGTAGAAGGAAGACGTCATAAAAAGTAGAGTGGAAATAAGTGAAATAGGGAAGGAAAAAAAACTAGAGGGGGGGAAAAAAAAAATCAACAAAATCAAACGCTGGTTCTTTAGAAAGATCAACAAAATTGACAACCCTTTAGCTATACTGCCCAACAGTAAAGACTCAAATTATTAAAATCAGAATGAAAAGCGGGGACATCACTACTGATCTTACAGAAGTAGATGAAATGGATACATTCTTTGAACACGAAAATCCACCAAAAATAATACAGAAACCTGAAAAACTTTTAAACTGTTTTTCCAAAGAATTTATTAATAAAACCTTCCCATGAAGGAAAGTCCAGACCCAGATGGGTTCACCAGTCTTACACATTATTTTTCCCCAAAATAAAGAAGGTATGCCTCCCAACTATTTCATGATTCCAATATAATCATTTATAAAAACCGAACAAAGACAAGACAATAATCCCTCATAAACACAAATAAAATTTCTAACAAAATGCAAACAAATCTAATCCAGCAACACATGAAGAGGTAATATATCATAACCAGGTGGAGTTTATCTCAGGAATACAAAGCTGGCTTAATATTTGAAAATCAACGTAAGGCATCACATTTACAGAATAATGGAGAAAAACTGTATTATCATCTCAATGAATGTAGGATTGGCATCTGACAAAACTCAGTAATAACAGCAACTAAGGAGAGAAGGAAATTTCATTTCATAAAGGTCACCTGAAAATAACATAAAGCTAACATGATACTTAGTGGTGGAATATCAAACTCTGTCCTTCATAATTAATATGCTGGAACAAAACAATTCCTAATTAATACATTCAGCATGACTGGAGGTCCTAGCCAGGACAAAAAGGAAAGGGGGGAAAACACAGTGCCTTTATTCACAGACATTTGAATTTCTACAACTGTTTACAGAGAAAATCCCTACCAGCAAGGCCACAGGACACAATGTCAAAATATGAAAATCAGTTGCATATCTATAATATCAAAATATTAGAAAATATATTTTTTAATTCCATTCACAATAGTAGCATCAAAATACATGAATTCCTTAGGAATAAACTTAAAAGGTGCTCAACAGTTCCACACTGAAACCTCAAACATTGCTGATGACAAAAAGATCTAAATAAATGGAGAACCACAGCAGGTACTAAAAACAGTCATATCAAGACATGCAGGAGTGACTGGATAATAAATTACGGTCTATCAATACAATGAAAAACTTCTCAGCAATAAAAGAATAAACTAGCACAACATGAGATTATGTACATTTATATACAACTCTAGGAGAAGCAAATTAAACTGATAGTGACAGAAAATAGGACCAACCTTTGGGTGATATACATGTGTTATATTCTGATGGGTGAGGTGATTACATGAGTAGCTACAATTGTCAAAATTAAATTGTACACTGAAAATGAGTGGCTATCATTTGTGGTTATGGTGATAATGTCATTCTGATACTATTGTATGTTTATATCACTAAGAGCTGGAATTTCTAGCTATGTGTGTTAGGAAAACTTATCCAGCTTCTGGAAATCAGTCAAAATAAGGATCCCACTTCCTTCCGATATCACACTGAAGCACTGTCCAACAAGTAAGTGCACCCAGATTATTATTTAAGTACACTTGCTTCACTTAGTATTTATTATTCATGAGTACCCAGACACTTCAGTTACATGATAACTTATAGATCTTTGTCCAGCAGGGATGCAAATTATTTTGTGCAATAACCCCAAAAGTTATTGTTTTATTGACCTGGAGATAATCAGCATTTAAATCAGTATTTAAATCAGTCACCTCATTCTAGCATCTGTTCTTCAGTGACTGTGAATACTGAATTACTCAAATGTTCTTTCAGCCAGTTTCATCACCCTGTCCATCCAGTTTTCTCATTAATGAGCTAAATATAATTTTGACACACGTTCACTCTTTATATGTATGTGTAATATTTTTAACATTTTGAAACTTATTCTTTGAGAGCAAAGATTTAAGATCCATGAAATCAACTGAAGACCCTATATCCTAAAATTAAATCAGAACTATAGGTTTAAAATCAGAAAGGTTTTTAAAAGTATAACAGGAAAATAAACAACTTAGAGAATAAGATATGTAACATTAACAAAAACAGCAAAAAAGTGATAGATAAAGCAATTTTCCATCCAAAACAAACATATAATTTACAATAAACACACAAGTTACATTGTATTAAAATATATAAGATAAAAAACAGAATAAGGAAAAATTGATATAATCACACTGTTAACAAATTTTGAACAAATTCTTCTCAATTTTTTTAAATTGAAATATAATTTAAAAATTAAATTAATTAATAATTAAGGAAAAAAGAAGCACTGAATAAATGTAATTAATAATGCAGAACAGCCAAGCTGAAGTGGTTCAGGGGTTGAGCATCGACCTATGATCCAGGAGATCCTGGTTCCATTCCTGGTCAGGGCACATGCCCGGGTTGTGGGCTCAATTCCCAGTAGGGGGTGTGCAGGAGGCAGCCGATCAATCAGTCTCATCAATGATGTTTCTATCTCTCTCTCTCCCTTCCTCTCTCTGAAATCAACAGACATATTTTTAAAAATAATAATAATAATGCAAAACAGACCTTTTTCCAGTGTTTCCTTTTTTAATTGACCATTTATCATGCTAAAAAAGAATCTTAATATGTCCCAAAATGCAGAAAAGCACAGGTTAAAATGCTTTGAAAACAAGAAATAAGCCAAAAGATTAACAAGGATCATTGAGACACTTTATATTGGTTAGCAATGTTGTGTAACAAATTACCCCAAAAGTTAATCGCTTAAAACAACAAACATTTTATCTCACAGTTTCTGTGAATCGGTACTTAAGGGGAATTTTCGATGGGTGGTTCTGACTTGGGGTCTTTTATGAGGCTGAAATCAAGATGTCAGCTTGGGTTGAAGGCTTTACTGGGGCTGAAGAATTTGTCACCAAGCTCATTCGCAGGGTTACTGTCAGGAAGCTTCAGTTCCTCATATAAGTCTCTTCATAAAACCGCTTGAGTATTTTCACAAACTGCCAGCTGGCTTCCCCCAAAGTGAGCAACCCAAGAAAAAAAGCAAGGAAGCCACACCATGCCTGTTTACAACCTACTTTCAGAAAGGATACACTGCCATGTCTGCCATATGTTCTGCATTAGAAGTCAGTCACTAAGTTCAGTCTACACTGGGCTGTACTGTCTCCACCTTTTAAAGGGAGGTATATTAAACAAACTGTGAATAAATTTTAAAATTACATGAAAACAGCAGGAAAGCAGTGATTCCTTTCATATAAGGGATCCTCAAGAGTAATAGCTAATTTCTCATCAGAAACCATGGATGACGAAAGGGAATGCAATGACACAATTTAAAGTATTGAAAGAAAAAGTCAGTCATCCAAGAATGCCATATCTAGCAAAACTGTCCTTCAAAACTGAAGGCCTAGCCTAGTCGATGTGGCTCAGCAGTTGATCACTGACCTATGATCCAGGAGATCCTGGTTCGATTTCTGGTCAGGGCACATGACAGGGATGCGGGCTCGATCCCCAGGAGGGGGTATGCAGGAG